AACCTCCAAGTCGTCAAAACGAGTCCGCGGGGAAAACAGCGCATCTGCCTTAACACAAACCATGTTGTCTGATTACTGATATGAGTTATTTGTATGTAACAATTAAAAACCAATTGACATTTCAACACAATTTAGATGTTCATGTCAATCAGAAAGGTTTTTGGAGCAATGTTTTCAATTATCTTTGCTTGCTGGCCCCATGGGGATCCGGGTTAGAATAGGTCCTCAGTACCCCCTTGCTTGTCGTAAAAGGCGATTAAATGGGGCTGTCCTTCGGATGAGACCGTATAAACCGAGGCCCCGTGTCACAGCAGGTGTGGCACGATAAAGATCCCTCCCTGCTCAATGGCCGTAAGTGCCGAGCATAGGCCTAAATTTGCAGCCGTTCACCGGCAATGGTGACGTCTCTATATCAGTGAAATATTCTGGAAAGGGACGTTAAAACAGTATACAATCAATCAATCAATCCTTGTCTGCTGTCTCAATGGGCTCCTTTTGAGATTGAGGTTCTGAGATGATACTCTATATACTCAGACATTAGATTTTCCCAAAACTTGGCATGCACTAAAGTCAATGCATGTTACTTAAAAAAGGAGTGACTTTCACACAATGAAAGATCAATAGGCTCCCTTTAATCAATGTCTCTGGATTAATAATTAAGGACCAGGCAAAATTTATGACAATGATGGGACCAGTACAAAACAAAATTCTCATTTTAAAAAAGTATGTGCCCCATGGCATTTTATTTGAAAAAAAAATATCCGTCCCATGCCTTAAGACTAAGAAAAAAGTTACTGTCCCATTGCAACATCTTGGTGTTAGTGAAATGATTGGAACAAAACTAAGAGTCTTACAGATAACAGATATATCGATAATTTTTGTTTGTTTGTTTATTTTTATACTTTGTAATAGTATTCATTAATGATCTGAAGATTTATTTTGCTATTTGAATCCTTCATTTGACTTTCGAAGATACGACTTTTGCGGGGGGAAAAAAGAATGCCTGTATATATATTTTTCAATATAATGAATTTCTCTCTTGGATTAGACTGTTTAAAATAAATTATATGTTTAACGTCATCCGCTCGCGTAGGTTAAGGAGAAATCCGTCTTTTCACCTTTTATTCAAAATGAGATCAATATCTGAAAATGAGTTTTTATAATTAGCTTCTTAAAACACATATATTGTCTTATTTTTTTATGTGCCAACTTATGTTTCTTTGTGCCAATCTTATGTTACATGTGCCATTTCCTGAATACCCAAACAATTAAGAATTTCTTGTATCCGTTCCGGTTTGGTTCTACATTTAGCGACCTAATTCTGCTACCCGTAGTGACAGAAAAATGGGCTTCGATACTGCAGTAAAATTGAGTAAAGGCAATTGGTGTCTTATTGAAAGAAGACTAATGAATTAAACAGTATGGGATCAGAAATGTAAGTAGAAAATAGATGCTGTTATGAAAGAAGTTAATGCCAAACTCCACTTTGATGAATTTTATGTCAGTCTTCGAATCACAGACTCTCAGTTCGTGATTATGTTGCCTGAAATTTTAATCGAATTTTGGAGAATATCTAAACTTTACAAAAACCAAGATTTTATAATATACATTGAGATGCATCATTTACATTTTAAAAATAACTTCATCTTAAAATATTTCTGTAAAAATTTAAAGGAACAGTAAGATATGTTTTATTCATAAACAAAAAGCTACAATGTTTTGGGAAGAATAATACTAGTCATTTCCATTTGAGTAGAGAGAAGCTTACAGAAAGATGGGGCCTTTCAAATGAAGGAGAGTAAAGAAAGTGATTGGGCTATTCCATGAAGTGAAGAATCAATTGTCATGTGTTTGGAAATCAAGGTAAGATAATCTAACAGCAACAGCTTCATGTACATGTATGGTCCAAATATTAGTATCTGCACTTTCAAAACTAAATGCTTGTAATCTAGTACTATAAGTAAAAATACGGCATAATTAAATTTCAAGATATTTCAATATTAGAATGTACTGTATTAAATATTGTCATCATAAATTTTAATTGTAGATATTGTACAACTATTCCCACAAGAAGAAGAATTTCCCTACAGTCTATTACAGGGTGCCATGTGGCAATATAAATCCAAAGGACAAACAAGGCCTAGTTGAAAGCCACTCTCCTGCAAATTTAGTCTACATTGTTTGCTCACTTGTAAAAGGACTCAACCCATTTACATACTAAGGGGAAAACTCTGCTTGAGAAATTAGACTTAGCTGTCATATCCAATACTCTTATTACTCAATTATAGTGGGTGTAATGTACTGAATAGGTTAATTTGAATAAATTCACAATTGTTTAGAATTTTTTGGTTATTTTATTTCCTCTCTCCCTCGTAGGTTTTGAACTTTGGATGTGACGTTAAACATAGAATTAACTTTAAACAGCCTTCAGTAGTGTAACTCATTGAAAAAATGTTTGTGTCCCATGGGTATACTTAATGCTAAAAAAGTTTTTGTCCCATGGTTTTCTGCAATGAAAAAACTCATTGTCCCATGCCTGTTTGTACCGGTCCCATCATTGTGATAAATTTGTCTTTAACTGCAAAGCGAAAGCTGCAATTTTGTTAATTTTCATCGCTCCTACGTCTTAGATTAAATGTATGCATATTTGTAAAATAATTGTTTTATTTACCAATGCAGACGATATCCTCCTGTCTCATTGATTTAATCCGTTTGTATTTTTCAAAATGCTTTTTCGAAATAAAATCACAAATAAAATGTGAATGAAAAATGTTTGACTTCCCTAATACTTGGAACTTACAGTATAGTTTTTCAACAGTTCTTTGGCTTCTGGTATTCCGGATACTACAACCTGTTTAGGTTTCCCGAGCCCGATCCTAATAGCACACTGTTCATTTGTAAAAGCTCCATTCAGATGCACTAAAGAAAGAATCAGTGTAAATATTGTATAAAAGTATATAATTTCAAGCACATTCTGTTTTGTCTTCATAAGGGAGAGACATATGATTTAGTTGCGTCTTTCGATTTTTCCTTATTAAGGCAAATGATTGATACCGTAAATCTGGAAATTTTTACGTCGATTCTATTTTGCGAATTCGGGTAAAATGCTGTTGATTAATTTTTACGTTTCAAAATTTTGCGAATGACCACTGCTTTGTTTATATTTTCTTTTTGGTAATTTATTTTTAAGAAAAATATTTTTGCGAATGCAATGAACTCGCAAATTTGCTAAAACTTTATCTACAGCAAAAATTTCCAGATTTACGGTAATCAGTGCAATATAAAGATAAAAGCAGAACGCAGTCATTTTACTTAAAATTTGATTGAAACAATTACAAACTCGGTCTCAAAATACTTGAGACTTTTTGATCAAAAAGCTTCATGAAATTACAAAGATTAGCAAAGACAATTAGAATCAGAAGCCTAGAAGAAGAGCATGCCAATACTTAGGCGTTAGTTTTCCTGTATTTAAAAGGGGGAAGAAAGAAGAAAAGGAGGCAAAAGTATTTGATAATAAAAATGGATTTTTTTTCCTAACTGCTTTCACAGTCATTAAGGTTCATTTGATAACCAAGCCTCCGATTTCCTTCATGGTCTGCTAAAACCCATTGAAGAAGGATATGGAGAGAACCAACAGTATTCAATCTCAAATTCCATGGGAACAATACAAAATAGGTGTAGAGTAAACACGGATCTTCGAACATCAGAAGTGGGATCAGGTGCCTTGGAGGAGTGAGCATTGCTGCCGATCGGTCACACCCGCCTTGTGCTCCTTGTCATAATCGGGAAATAACGGAAAAAATCCGCTGTCAATACAGTGTATAAATAATGGACTAACAATTAGTATAAAAACGTCTGTCAGCATTTGTCTCAATGATAAATTGTATTTGCTGACAAGGTCATTGTATCGATCATAGAACTTACGAAATGATGACTTTAAACGAGAGTGCTGATATTCTTGTTTCATCAACTTGCTTGTCAAAAATTTTACCTCGTTTTAGAAATTGTTCATAGGTTAGAGCATGCTCTTGCGAATCGAATAAATTGAGATACATATACTCCGTATGCAGTTGATAAAGGTATATTACTGCTAGGGATGGGGTAATGGTAATGTGTAATGGTAATTGCCTGTAATTAATTACAAATTTCGATGTAATTGAAAGCAATGTGTAATTGGCCAAATTTTCTCGAATTATTTCTAACATTGGTCTATCAAAAAAATCTTGATTCAGTACAATAGAATAGGCCTGGACATTTCATAGGAGGGATAAGGTGCCTAGGAGGGGTTAACACCCCCTGTCCTATAACACATTCAAGAAAAGTGTCTGACTGACCTATTACTGCGCTCTGTAAATTCCGTGGATGGAAATTTCTGGGGTTCCCCTTAAGAACGGAAAATGTGGAGGTGGTCGTCCGTATAGGATCAGTGAACTGTAACGCATTGACACGCTCCACTGAACTTACATATCCAGTACATGCATCAAACCACCGTTCCATTAAACCTGGCAAATGTAGTAAGACGTTTGAAAAGAAATATGTTTGACTGTTCTTAGGATTGTGATGTCGACAGATTTTTTTTTTAATATCTTGAATGTCTGATTGAAAGAAAAATCAATCTGTTTAAATATTTTTTTGCCAGTACGAGTTCTGTGTGATTAATTTTGTTTCATTTTAAGCAACACTTTTTAAAAGATTTCTTTTCAAAGAGGAAAAAAATAGTATGAATTAATTTTTTTCTGTGTTGACGTACATATAGTTCTAAGGGTAGTCGTAGAGGTTTTTGTATTACTTACTTCCAAATTTAATTCTTTAACTTCTTACCCTTGCTGGAAAAAATCGACCCTCTATTGTTTTCTACACATGCGCCGATAGGGGCGAGGTCATAGCACATTTCTGATTGGCAATGTCACATACTGAAAAATAATTTAGTAGAAATTTTTATTACAAAAAAAAAATTATGTGTCAAGGTACGCAGGAAGAGGTGCAAGATTTGAAGAGATACAAGTTTTGTGACGGATAACTTCATGTCAATAAATTTCAATCGGTACCCTTCACCAATAAAAAAAATTATGTGAATGAGAAACGTTTTTGTAAAATTAATCTCCAAAAATATGGTTATCAAATGTTGATGCTTAAGGTCTCTCATTTAATCAATCCTCACTTCTTCCCAAAAATAAACAAAGATTAAATACTCCCTTATATGTGTAAATTGTAATTATAATGCATGGATCACATTAGACTCTTAGTAGAATTCTTGGGATTGTTTTATGCCAAGGCAAATTACTTGTTCAAATAATATTTTTTATATTTATATAGCCTAAATATAAACAGATTTTGTCAGGATAAACATGAACTTTTTTTAAATTGTGTATGATATGAAAACCATTGACTTGCCTGCTTGCACTAGGTCAAGATCCGCGCCTTTTAATATCCCATCGCTGTCACTTTTTATAAAGGAAATAAAAATGAAATGAATTATAAGCCGTTATATATATTTAGAAATTTAATGTCAGGATTGCTGCATTTGATTTATTATGTAATTAGACAGATGTGCAATCTCTTTCATTAAAAGAGCCTAAGTAAGTTGAATGGTCTCTCTTAGGCAACCAACAGCAAAATAATTTAAGAGTGCAAAATAAAAAATGCAACATTTATTTGCAGGCTTGGCTACATATTCCAGCATATTTAAAAAAAAAACCCATTATAAATATATCAAAACAATCAAATTATTTTGAACGCCATATTGGTGATACAAAAAAAAATGATTACTTCTTATTTGTCTTAGAATATATACAAGTCTATGTTTACTTACATAAAATTCCACGGTCTTTTATTTCCACTTACTGCAAATACCCAAGTTTTCGCCTGCAACATTCATTAAGGTTTGCTGTTTATTGTTATTCTTTTACGATTTCATATACATATCATATACTTTTTAATACCAATGACATGTAAATGTAAGTATTGTAAAAAATATATTTATTGAGTGTAACTGTTTTTATGTCCAAAGTGTTCTGCCTGAAAAATATCATTTTCGCAACAATTTTTAAATCATTACTGATGGTAAATATTTCATCTTTTACAGGGCAACAAGCTATTAAACTGTATCCTCTAGAAATATTGGAAATGGGATTATATGCTTAAGTGGGATGAACAGGCCATGTTATGATTAGGCCTTCCACTTGAGTTCTACATGAAAAAAAAATACTTTTTTCATCTAGTAATGGGAAATTATATATATGATTTGAGAAACTCACAATCACATTAAAGATCTAAAATGACAGAATCAACGTTGTAGAATGAAACACATGGAAATAACGAACAATATTCAAGATCCAAAGTCCAAAAAACAAAATAAAATAGGAGCAGAGTAAACATGGACCTCCAAAATATCAGATGTGGGATCAGGTACCATGGAATAGTGAGTATTTCCTGTTTATTGTTATGCTATGTAAAAATGCCGACTTAAAATGAAATTTACTTACTTAGTTATACCAGCGTGTGCTCCTTGTCATGATTGGGAAATTACGGAAAAATCTGTTGTCAATTAAGTGTATAAATTATGGACTAAAAATTAGTATGTTAAACGTCAGTTACCATTTGACTCGATGATAAATTGCGTTTGCTAGACAAGGACATTGTATCAACCATAAAACTTACAAAATTCGAATTTAAAGGAGACTGCTGAAAGTCTTGTTTCATCAACTTGTTTGTCAATACTTTACCTCGTTCTAAATATTGATCAGGCAGACAGAAAAATATATTAAACATATAAAGGCAACTAACTTGCAATTAGCATGATACCTGACAGCTTACCACCAGCGATATGTGTTACATTCTAATAAGACCTTTATAAGGACAGTAGAGTCAGAAAATGTCATTATACTCTTCGGAAAAATGATATTTTAATTAATTTTACGTAAAATATGTGGAGATAACAAACAGTATTCAAGATCAAACGTCGATAAAACAATATAAAACAGGAGCAGAGCAAACACGGAACTCTAAAAACATCAGGGGTGGGGTCAGGTGCCAAGGAGGAGTGGCATCCCCCTCCGACCTGTCACACTCGCCGTGTGCTCCTTGTCATGATCGGGAAATAACGGAACAATTCTTCGTTAATTTAGTGTATAAATAATGGACTAACAATTAGTATGAAAAACGTCAGTCAGCATTTGACTCATCGATAAATTGTATTTGCTGACAAATTTATTATACAGACTATAGAACTTACGAAATGATGACTTCAAAGGAGACTGCTATTATTCTTGTTTCATCAGAGAGACAAAAAAAACCGTGTTTAAAGACGTACAACACACTGGGGGAGATAACTCTTGCGATTTCAATTGAACGTTTGACGTGACGTCAAATTTAACGTCAAAAATAAAGCGTCAGAACGACGAGTAAAACGATCCCGATGTATATCAATCATGAAAGAAAATTGGGATATGGGGTTTGGCTGTGATTGTGCGGCAGTGCGTACCATACTCAATCAATAAGTATTTTTTAATTAACCCGATTAAACTCCGTAAAAAGCAAGACATAAAACACCATCCCTTAA